TACTGTGTATGGTGGCCATACCACCGTCTGGCTTGAGGACCGAGCGGTCGAAACTCCAGGCTTGTACGCTCATTTGGTCACTAAGTATAGAGCCACACTCATGGCTGCGGATTACCCTGGGCTTAAGATCACTGCGTACAACTACCAGCAAGATCCAATGGCCACGCGTCACTTCAAGAAAAACTCTGAGCCTAACTTTGAAAATGTGAAGCTTTGTCTTATTGATACGTTGACTGTCGACGCTGAGTTTCATGAAATTCTGGCTGACAGATGGCTGCGGCCCATGAGAAACCCTAGAGCTCGGGAAATTGTCGCCCCAATGCTATGCTTGCCTGAACATGGCGGTATGGTGATCAGTGTTCGGGACTGGTTGGGAGGAGAAGAGCGCTTGGGCTGCCCTTTGACTCATGAGATGGATCCGGCTGAGCGGTCAGAAGGCACAGAAGCCAAAAAAGAGGAAAGAAAGTCCGAAAACAACAGTGGTTTCGGTAGCAGCCTTTTGGGTGGCGGTGCGCGTGCTTCTGCTCCTGTTCCAAAAGAGCAGAACAAGAATGAACTGGCCGAAGTACTCCTCGACAAAGAGGCCTTGAAAAGCAATGAGGTTGTGGTTTTGGCCATGGGCGAGGATGCTCGGAAGTACGCAGCGACCATGCCACATGCTGTGCGAGTTGGCTCTTTCGGCTACCCGATTCCTGATGCGACCCTTGCCGTTGTTGACCCGGAGACCAATTTGCTATGCACACCCAATGTGGTCGGTGAGATATGGATTGACTCACCATCTCTTTCTGGCGGTTTCTGGGCATTGCCCAAGCATACGGAAGCAATCTTCCACGCACGGCCTTATAAGTTCGAAGAGGGCAATCCCACCCCTGTGCTGGTGGAACCAGAGTTTCTACGGACTGGTCTTCTTGGCTGTGTGATAGAGGGGAAAATCTTTGTTCTAGGTCTCTACGAAGACCGCCTCCGACAGAAGGTAGAATGGGTCGAGCATGGGCAGGAGATTGTTGAACATCGCTACTTCTTCGTCCAACACATGATTGTTAGTATTCTCAAGAACTTGCCCAAGATACATGACTGCACTGCCTTTGATGTGTTTGTCAATGACGAACATCTTCCGATCGTTGTTTTGGAGTCATATGCGGCATCGACCGCGCCAACGACTTCGGGTGGTCCACCTCGGCAACTGGATTCCGTGCTCCTCGAATCTCTGGCGGAAAGATGTATGGAAGTGTTGTATCAAGAGCACCACTTGCGAGTCTATTGTGTGCTTCTTACGGCGCCGAATACACTTCCCCGTGTGACTAAGAACGGCCGCCGGGAGATCGGTAATATGCTCTGTCGCAAGGAGTTCGATGCCGGAACTCTGCCCTGTGTGCATGTGAAGTTCGGTATTGAACGCTCGGTCATGAATCTGCCGGTTGGTGTCGACCCCGTTGGGGGAATCTGGTCTCCCTTGGCTTCGGCGGCACGGCAAGAGATGCTTGCCATGCAAGAGAAGCAGTATTCGGGTGTGGATTACCGCGATGTCGTGATGGACGATCGCACCTCCACACCTTTGAACAACTTCGCAACCATTGTGGACCTCCTCCAATGGCGTGTCTCTCGCCAGGCAGAGGAGCTGGCTTACTGCTCAATCGATAGCCGTGGAAAAGAAGGCAAAGGTATCACCTGGAAGAAATTCGACTTGAAAGTCGCCGCTGTAGCGATGTATTTGAAAAACAAGGTCAAAGTTCGACCTGGAGATCATCTTATCCTGATGTACACGCACTCCGAAGATTATGTCTACGCCGTGCATGCCTGCTTCTGTCTCGGTGTCGTTGTCATTCCCATTGCTCCAATCGACCAAAACCGGCTAGCAGAAGACGCCCCTGCATTTCTCCATGTGATAAATGATTTCAAAGTCAAGGCAATCATTGTCAATAGCGACGTTGACCATGTCATGAGACAGAAAATCGTTTCCCAGCATATAAAACAGTCTGCACAGGTCCTCAGGATCGGTGTGCCTGCTATCTACAATACCAGCAAACCATCGAAACAATCTCATGGCTGCCGAGACCTTGGCTTTACTGTCAAAGAACCTTGGTTACAAGCAGACCAGCCAGCTCTAGTTTGGACTTATTGGACACCGGATCAGAGGAGAATCTCTGTGCAAATTGGCCACGACACCATCTTGGGAATGTGTAAGGTGCAGAAAGAGACATGCCAGATGACTAGCTCGAGACCAGTCCTAGGCAGTGTTCGCAGCACATTAGGTCTTGGATTTCTTCATACGGTCTTAATGGGCATCTACGTTGGTAAGAGAACGCGCAAGTATGGCTGCAAAGTCCTTCCAAGTTAACCGGTTATTAGGAGCTCCTACCTACCTTGTCTCGCCTGTTGATTTTGCGCAGAATCCCATGACATTGTTCGTCGCCTTGTCTCGTTATAAGATTAAGGATACATATGCCACTAGCCAGATGCTGGACTACGCTATGAGCGTCATGCCTGCGAAGGGTTTCCAGCTTCAAGAAATGAAGAACTTGATGATTTCCGCAGAGGGTCGGCCACGAACTGATATCTGTAAGCTCCGCGGTTCTTCTTCCCCGTCCAATTGTTCTCAATCTCATACTTTGACAGATCAAAAGGTGCGCCTTCATTTCGCATCCGCGAGTTTGGACCGCACCGCAATCAACATAGTTTACTCGCACGTGCTCAACCCTATGGTCGTCACTCGATCATATATGTGCATCGAACCGATTGAACTGTGGCTTGACCTTCGTTCTCTCCGCCAAGGGCTTGTTTGTCCTGTCGATGCAGACACAGATCCGATGGCGCTGCTTGTCCAGGATTCAGGGATGGTTCCGGTAAACACACAAGTAGCTATTGTGAATCCGGAGACCTGTACCTTGTCACATGTCGGTGAATATGGCGAGATATGGATTCAATCAGACGCCTGCGCCAAGGCGTTTTATGGATCCAGGAATGAATTCGATGCTGAGCGATTCAACGGCCGGATCGTGGACGGAGACCCTAACGTTGCCTATGTGCGCACTGGTGACCTGGGGTTCCTTCACACCGTCGCTCGGCCCATCGGCCCATCTGGTCAATCTGTCGAGATGCAGGTGCTCTTTGTCCTTGGCGGGATCGGCGAAACGTTCGAGGTCAATGGATTAAATCATTTCCCCATTGACATCGAGAACTCTGTGGAGAAGTGTCATCGCAACATTGTGCCTGGAGGATGGTAAGCGATCAACCGTCTTCACCATACTATTGAACTGGTCTTGTGCTAACGCTCGCAATTTAGTTGTGTCTTCCAGGCCGGTGGTTTGATAGTGGTTGTCGTCGAGGTGACAAGAAAAGCATATTTGGCATCCCTTGTCCCCGTGATTGTGGACGCCATCCTCGGTGAGCATCAAGTCATAGCTGACATAGTGGCATTCGTGTCTCATGGAGACTTCCCTCGGTCTCGTTTGGGCGAGAAGCAGAGAGGGAAGGTGTTGGCATCATGGGTAACCCGCAAATTGCGCACAATCGCGCAATTCAGTATTCGTGATGTGGAGGGATCAATGAGCCTCTTTGCAGAAGCTCCTCAACATCGTTCCAGTAAAGGCTCGAAACCCGGTAGCATCATGGGCAACAGCCTGCGTCGGTCCACTCTCGTACCGGACGCTGATTCCGCTACTGTTCCTCGTTCTCCAGCTCCGGTGCTTGTGGAGCAACCGGAAGCATCAATGGTGCCTCCTTACCATGACGTACATGAAACAGAGGGAGCTGAAATGCCTGCGCCACCGCTTCCAGACATGCACCCGACTCTTACTCACATAGGGGAACCTGTCCCACCAATGCGGTCTTCGAACAATGAAAGTCACTCGACAGGCATTGCTCACCCTGACCTTGGTTTCAATTTCGGCGATTTCGCCAATGCGACGAGCTCTGCTCCCATGGATGAACACACTGGTGCAGGAGCTGTCAGTGAAGCTCTTCCCTACCGCAATGTCCGTGGACAAGGCTCCATTCCCGCCCAACAGCCGCCGAGAACTAGCAGCCTCCCAGTCGGCACCGCCCCATCATTCGGTCGACCCAAATCCCCGGACCATATTTCAGAAGACAAAGTGGGGGACTGGCCGCAGGAAGCTTTGATGTATCAATCGGCGCTTGGGGGTGATGATGCATACGGTCATAGTGCCGTCAATCGGTCTCCGAGCGATGCTATGAGAAACCACCATGACTGAAAGCAGTAAGAAATACTATAATTGTCGTGAGATTTTCCACGTCGATCATTGAATATTCTCTACTGCACATCGGATTCCCTGCTTAATTATCCCCCGACCTGTCACCTATGTCATTTTGATTTATGCTGATCTATCGTCCTACATTTTTCATTGCCGCCTGCCTTACTTGTTCTTGACTCTGATCACCAACTTTGCTGCTTTACAGTTTCTGATTCTTTGCATGTGAAGAAGCATTCAATACTCTACATTTCCGCCTTACCCAACTGTCATGATGAACGATATATCATGTTTTGTACATACATACCCACGCATATGCGCGCCTTTATGCCAAAATATCGTTGCTCACTTTGCCCGTGCACGGATTCCCGATATATATAGACCACGCTTGCCTCGCATTGCTTGTGTCTGTCTACTTTTGACATAAATGCCGCACTGTACATAGTCCATATAGTGTTTAGCCGTAATACACCGCGTTTACATACAATAAGATAATGATGCTCCATGACGAGTTGCTGTACATGATGAATTACCAACACCAGGGGCTGAGATTTCGGTTAACTTGATATACGGAGTGCATCCTCACACAATAGTGAAACTGGTTCACCAACACCAAAACCAAATAAGAGAGAGATTATGTTCAATCTGTACAATTGAATTATGCTTTGAATAGCCATGCTTTTAGCCTCTAATTTTTTTTTTTTCCTCCGCTACTCGCCACCTTTTTTGAAATGCGGGAACCACCGATCGAGACGGGGGAAAAGCTTCGAAGATACGTAGAACACAAACGCGTTACTGGCTGTTCGCCTTGGCGGTCAGCGCGTCCAGATCAACCTTGGGTTTGGCACTGCCGTTGGGTGTGAGCTTCGCGGCTGTGATGGCCACCGCGTTGGAGTCGCCGAGCTGCTCAAGGGCTTGCAGATCCTCGTCTGTGAGGGTGTTGGAGCGTTGAGGGCGGAATGGAGCGGGGGAACCGGCACGGCTTGTCAGGAACTGTGTGAACAAACTATTAGAGATGATGAATATTTTGAGGGGGGGAAAGGGCGATAAGAAACGTACCGAGGAAGCTGCGCTGAGGAGAGCGATCAAACTGGCTTGTACCACGTCCTGGTGGATACCAATACCCCAGACTTGTTCTTTGCTGCCGGCCGCAGTGCACTGGAGGTATGTGGCAGCCTTCACGTCTCTACCGAGACCGATCGAGTGCTCCTTGTAGTCGATGACATCGAGGTCGATGCCAAGAGTCGACAGAGCATTGGCCAGAGACGAGATGGCACCGGGGCCAACGCCAGTGATAGCGTGTTGAATGTTGTCGATCTCGATGATGCCGGTGAAACGACGCTTGAGATTCTTGGTGTTGAGGGCCTTGCCCGGCTCCGGGGGCGCCGGCGACTGTGACCGGTCGGTTGTGATGTTGTAGTCGACCAAATTGAAGCGAGGGTTCGATTTGAGATGGTACGCTTCCTCGAAGAGCTCGACAATTTCCTTGGGCCGCAACTCCCGGTTGACGGCTTCGGTCTGCTTCTGAACGATCTTGCTGAATTCGACCTGCAGAGCGCGCGGAAGATCCAGCTCCAGACTGCGCAGAATGACCCAGGCGGCACCACCCTTGCCGCTCTGAGAGTTGACACGGATGACAGCCTCGTAGTTCCGTCCGATGTCCTGAGGGTCCAGAGGGAGATACGGGATGACCCACTCGTCGTCGTCGGTGGCGTTGGCACCTTCACGCAGCTTGAATCCCTTCTTGATAGCATCTTGGTGACTGCCGCTGAACGCGCAGACAACCAGCTGACCACCGTAGGGCCATCTTTCATTCACGGGAATCTTGTTGCTCTCTTCCACCACCTTGATAACAGAGTTGATATCCGAGAAGTCAACTTGAGGGCTGACACCCTGTGTGTAGAGATTGAGGGCAAGAGTGACCAGATCCACGTTACCAGTTCTCTCACCATTTCCGAAAAGAGTACCTTCGACACGCTGAGCACCAGCCATCTGAGCCAGCTCGGCGGCCGCAACAGCACAGCCACGATCGTTATGGGGATGGACAGAGACAACGAACTTCTCTCTCTCCGTCATGTTGCGGCAGAAATACTCAACCTGGTCTGCGAACACGTTTGGCGTCGCCATCTCAACCGTTGCTGGCAGATTGAAGATTATGGGGTTTTCTTCGGTGGGGCCCCAAGCAGCCTTGACGGCCTCGCAAATCTGGACTGCGAACTCAGGCTCGGTGTCGGAGAAGGTTTCGGGAGAGAACTCGAACTGCCACTGGGTACCAGCCATCTCTGGGTCGTCCTTGGTTATCGAGCGGGCGTACTTGGCGCATCTTACGGCAATCTCGAGACTCTGTTCGCGGGTGGTTCCGAAAACTATTCGGCGGAAGCATGGGCTGGTAGCCAGGTAGATGTGGAGGATAGCCTTCTTTGCGCCTTTGAGGGAATCGACAGTGCGACGGATGAGTTCTTCTCTGCAAGGAGACAGGACCTGGAGCCAGACATCGTCGGGAACGACGCCAGGTGTCTCTACCAGGCGCCGAGTGAAATCGAAGTCCGTTTGCGATGCCGAAGGGAATGATACTTCGATTTCCTTGTAACCGATGTCGACGAGCATCTTGAAGAACCGGAATTTCTGTTCACCATCCTATATAGATCTATACGTCAGAGGCGTCCAGAAAATTTGAACGAGTTCCTCACCATGGGATCGGGCAGACTCTGGTTGCCATCTCTCAGATCAGTGGCCAGCCAGCGGGGCGGCTTGTCGATAACCTTATCGGGCCATTGGCGGTTAGGGAGATGCAGAGGCTTGAAGGGCTTGTATTTTTTCGAGGGGTCTTTGAGCCTATCAAAAGGAGTCAATAAAAGAAGCTCAAATCCGAATGGTCCCTTGAGGAGTTGGGGTAAACAACAAAGATTCAGGGGCAGAAGACATACATAGGCATGATGGCGGTATCGTGCGGTGTCCGCAGCGGGGTAGGGGAAGAGGGTAGAGAAAGTTACTGCAGGATAGTGTGGCCAGAAAGAGGAAACGGAATACTAGACAACTGGCAGATAAAACGTGCCTGAATGACACTAAACTTTCAAAGATTAACGATCAGAGAACGATATTTAAGTAGAGGGAGAAATGTGAACGAGAGAGTTCGAGGAGTGAGTCAGTAGTATCTCCATCGTTCAATAACAGGTCATGACGCTCTCTCGCCGCCTTTCACATATTTTTTCGTCGATCCGCCGACAGCGGACGCGGGGCCCCTAATTGGCAACTCTGATTGGCCTGGGACTCGAGGGTGCCTCGCATAGTGGATACTTCAGGTAAATAAAAGTCCAGAGGGTACTGACGTTGGTGTCTCAATTGTTGCAGGTGTATTCGGCAAGTGGCGATAGCCTGATGTTAGCTCCTGAAGCGGACCGAATGAGACCTTTATCCTGGTTATGAAATCTTTTCCTGTCGTTCTATCTCTCCTGGTGCTTGTCTTTGCAGTGAGCTGGAATTCATTCTATGTACTCAATGCGGGGGGCCGATGATCGGGGACAAATTACATGGACCTCAGGCCATGACTCCACCGTGGTTAGCCGCCAGTAGCCGTTGACAGAGACTGAAACGATTGGTTTAACAGTCATGCCCTACAATAGAGGACTTGAATAGCTTCAATCTGAGTCATTTTGGGAGAGGGCGGGATTTAGAAGAGTGGATATATACGGCCGCTCTATGTAAATGTAAAGACTGACGTACCAAAGGCCACTAAACCAAAGGCCATGAAGAGATATTCACAACCTACATTAGGTTCTGATGCAATCCTATACACAATTGTAGTTCCCTCCTCATTTCTTTCCCTTCAGCTTGTGCTTATTCTTCTTGTCACTTTTGTTCTTATCCCCCTTGTTCTTATCCCCCTTGTTCTTCCCCTGTTTGGGAGCCTCTCGGTCCGCCTTACCCTTCTTCCAACCGATATTCCCCTCATGACGCTGGCGCGCATCGTCAAGCCGTTTCTTGTCCTTGTTGCTCAGCTTTACTTTATCCTTCTTAGATGGCCCGTTGAGCTCCGTAGCGCCCAATTTGCGCGCCGCACGCTTGTCACGTTCAGTCTCGAACCATGTGCGCTTCGGCCGCGACATGATCTCGGCTTCGTGCTTCATCATATTCTCCCCCTTGGTCACTTGCATCTCTGCCTGTGCCATCTGCTTCTCCAACTTCTCCTCCTGTAACACCTCCTCGATCTCATCTTCCAAGCCCTTGGCCTTAGCGGCCCATTCGTCCGCAACGGATGGGTCAACGACGCGGCTGACAATCTTGGCCCCTTGCGCTTTGCCGGCCTTGACGGCCGACTTGACGATCTTGCGGTCCGGCTCGGCTGCAATGGTACATGCACGCCCGGAGCGGCCCGCACGCGCTGTTCGACCCACACGATGCAGGTAGAGCTCGTGGTTCTGAGGCGCTTCGTAGTTGATGACCGTTTCGACACCCTTGATATCCAGACCACGGGACGCCAAATCAGTAGCAAGGAGGAAGGCTACTTTGCCTTCTCGGAAGTTCTCGACACTTTTGATACGCTGTACTGCTGTTTAGTCTCATTTCAAGTAATTATCTCAGCTCATAGGTTGACATACCTGTTCTTGGCTCATGCTACCATGAAGCTCTGCCGCTTTGAGTCCCAATAGCCCAAAGACAATGCGAACCCGATGAGCCTCGCGCTTCTGCCGGAAGAAGACGATAACCCGTCCAGTGTAGATTTCGTTGCACAGGTAAAGAAGATATCCCAAACGCTTGTCCTCTCTACCTGGCCGTAATCGCACGAACTCCTGGGTCAGGTTCATGGATGTATTCTTCTTCGAGTCGACCATCAAGCGAACTGGACGGTTGAGACCAACCCGAATGAGCTTGTCGACAGAGTCTGTCATTGTAGCCGAAAAGAGCATTGTTTGCCGCGACTTGGGAATGGTTGTCAAGATTTCGTTGAGTTCGTCAGCGAAACCATCTTCCAACATTCGATCAGCTTCATCAAGAACCAAAATCTCCAGAGTGTCGAGAGTGAAGCTGGGGGAATTCCGCATGTGGTCGATAAAACGACCAGGAGTTGCAATGATTACATCAGGCCGCTTTTTCAAGATATTCTCCTGCTCGCGAAGACTGAAACCACCGACAAGTTGACAAAAGGTAATATCGGTATGGGTAGCCAGTTTTGTAGCCACATTGTAACACTGAACCGCCAGTTCACGAGTGGGCATCAGGATGGCAACACGACTGGTGGGGACTTTTCGAGGGCGGAACAGTAGACGCTCGAGAATGGGAACAACGAACGCAGCAGTCTTTCCTGAGCCAGTAACAGCACTACCCACGATGTCTTTGCCAAGGAGAGCCACGGGGATCGTCTTTTGCTGGATGGGAGTCGGCGTGGTGAAATTGACAGATGCCAGACCACGGAGGATGGGTCGAGACAGATTGAAGTCCTGGAATGATCGATTGGAAGTCGACGCGGTTGTGGATTTTTCTTCAGGCGCGAAGAAAGCCTTGCGCTTCTCTGCTTCCTCAGCGTCAACCTCACTCTCCACTTCAGATTCCTCGTCAAAAGCTGCTTCGTCATCCGGATGGTGTACTGGAGTCGCAACTGAGTCGTTATCGGAGGCAGCATCATCATCATCATCATCATCATCATCCTCGTCCTCGCTGCCCTGTTCATCTCCATCATCGCTGTCACTGGAGTCGTTCTCCACATCGTCGCCGCTCTCATCCGCACCATCGGCGCCCATACCAAATCCGTCGGCAGCAAGCAATTCGTCGTCCTGAAAGTCCACAGACATGCCACCATCAGAGTCGGCATCTTCATCTTCACTCTCCTCTCCTTCCTCCTTCCTCCTCTTTTTCTCCTTCTGCTGCTTCTTTTTCAGCTCGGCCTCTTTCTTCGCTTTCCTCCTGGAAATGATATCATCAATATCCACAGCCTTCTTATCCCCATTCTTCGTCGTATTCGCAGATCCATCTCCATTCCGCGCTTCCCACCCATCAAATCCCTCGATCACACCGGCATTAGCATTGCCGCCAACATCGAACTCGAACTCCGAGTCCAACGCCCCATCATCCTCACCAGCATCCAGTGCCTCAGCCTCATCCTCTTCGCCGGATTGTTCGTCAGATACTGCGCCAGCAGCGCTTTCACCCTTCTTGCTTTGCTTCAATTGCTTCTGCTTCTTGTTCTTGCCTTTTGGTGCCTCCGCCGCCTCTCGTTTGCGTTTCTTCGAGCTGGAAATATTTTCTTCCTCGGCGTTGTCGCCACCTTCCTCCACACCGTCCGCGAGGACATCGTTCTCATCATCCGATAGTGTGAGCACGAAATCGTCATCTTTGGCGGCAGTCCGCTTTTTCGTCGCGGAATTGGGAGCCATTTTTCAAGCAGACCAGCCGTCGATTGGTCGTTGAAGTGCGAAGGGGCGAGTATTAAACCGTAATACTTCACACAGAACAAGTGAAATGATGTAGACGAACTCAAACCACCCCTGTTTTTCCTCCCAGGACTACTGGCTCTATCTGCTTTCTCTTGAGCGGAAGAGGAAATGAAAAAAGTTCAAATCGCGAAGGCGGTGAGGCTCAAGCGCGGCAGAAAATACCCACGAAATTTGTCCTGTAACTCTGATTGGCTGCCTTCTGAAAGCCAGCTTTAACCTAACGTAATCCACCACCGAGCGGCACACACCACCGAGCGGCACAAAACATCCTCCCCCTAAGCCCCTGAATAGTTGTCTGATTGCTTCAGTTTCACTAACACATTATTATGCCTCAAAAATCATTAGATTCAGCTGCTAAATTAGAGGGCAGAATTCAGCTTGCAATCCAAGCATTTAAAAATGGTCAATTCAAAAGTATCCGTTCAGCAGCTGCAGCATATGATGTGCCACACCGAACGCTCACCTACCGAATTAATGGTCGAAATGCACGCCTGAATATTCCAGCAAATGGCCAGAAGCTTAAAGATTTAGAAGAAGCTTCTCTTAAGAAGTGGATTCTTGATATGGATGAGCGTGGCCTCCCTCCTACTCACGATATGGTACGCAAGATGGCGAATCTATTGCTATCTCACCGACAGGAGACTGAAACTGTTGGCCTCAACTGGGTTTCTCGTTTTATTAAACGACATGATGAGATTATATCTAAATACACCCGCAAGTACGATTATCAACGTGCAAAATGTGAGGACCACAAGGTTATTAATCAGTGGTTTGATCTTGTTCAGAATACTATAGTAAAATATGGTATTACTGAACAGGATATCTACAATTTTGATGAAACTGGCTTCCAGATGGGTGTGGCACATACAGCTAAGGTTATTACTGCATCCCATCATCGAACAAGCCGCGTACGAGCTATACAACCGGGGAATCGCGAATGGGTTACTGTTATTAAATGCATTAATATCTCTGGATGGCCTCTCCCCCCAATGATCATCTTCTCTGGCAAGGTCCATCAATCCCAATGGTATCAAGATCTTGATGCTGACTGGCTGATTGGCCTAAGCAATAATGGATGGACTAATAATGAGCTTGGGGTATCCTGGTTAGAAAAGATCTTCAAGAAGCATACTGCAACACGTACCCTAGGGAGATATCAGCTTTTGATTCTTGATGGCCATACTAGCCATAAGTCTGCAGAGTTTGATCTTTTCTGCAAGAACCATCAAATCATCCCTCTTTATATGCCTTCTCATTCATCTGATAAACTGCAACCTCTGGATGTTGGCTGCTTCGCACCCCTAAAACAGGCTTATGGCGAAGAGGTGACAAGAAGCATACAAAATGGCATTCATCATATTAATAAGGAGAACTTTCTTAATCTTTATAAAGTATCAAGGAAGGCCTTATCATCTGAGAATATCTGCAGTGGATTTAATGCCTCTGGTTTAGTTCCTTTAAGTCAACAAAGGGTGCTAGATAAGCTTACTATTAAGAATATCACACCTCCAACTACTGCACATGGACCTGGACCTGGAGCTACAGAGGCTGAATGGATTGCAAAGACCCCTTATACAACTACTGAGGTGCAAAAGCAGATGCAGCATATAAAGCAGCTTATTCATCGCAACTCAGAGAGCCCACCAAATGAAGCAATCCGCCAGCTAGCAAAAGCAGCTGAATCTACTATGCATCAAGTCATTCTACTACAGCATCAGGTGACTGAGCTTCGTGCAGCAAATAATAAGCAGAAGCAAAAGCGCGCAGCCCCTAGATCTTTTATTGCTACTGGGGGGGTTCTGACAGGGGCTAAAGGCCAGCAACTTRCKCAAGAAGCTATACAAATRATGGAGCCTGTGCCTAAGAAAAAGCGTGCACCACCACAATGCAGTAATTGCCATCAAATTGGGCATATTCGAACTAGCTGCTCTAGTAGATAATAAAAATCTTTTATGCATGAGAATGGCTTCATTTTGATAGTATAGTAGTACGATACCTCCTAGATTCATGACCATGGCCAAATTGTGCCGCTCGGTGGTGTGTGCCGCTCGGTGGTGGATTACGTTATCAGCGTTGGCTTACTAAGGTCCGTATCAAACCTACTACCTAGTTAACTAGTTATTATCTAGCTTACCACTTACGTCCAAAGCATATCAATTCAATACTTCCAAAGTGATATTTTTTTCCCTTCCCCTAATCGATTATGAGTCTCTGTGTATCAAGAGAACAACGGGATGTCCATCGCTTTGGGATATTTAAGTCTCATTTCTTGAACTACCACTGTTCTCCTCGGCTTTGCTAGATTCCAAGCCAGATGAGAGACACACGGGGACACAAAAAAGGTTCTCAAGATGAGATGACGAAGAAGCAAGGACAATTCAATATTCAAAACAGGAAGAAGACGCTCACACAAGCTCCGGAAAGGTTCTTTCCTCAAGCATGAAACGCATCACCGTCGTCGTAACCAGCTTTGCGAATAAGGTAGCTGACATCGAGGCTATGAGAGCGTTTTAGTAAGTCTAGGGCTCATGTGATCAATGATGGTTCACTTACAATCGCTCGAACTTGACTCGAGCTCCCTTGAGCACGCCTTGCTGTTCAAAGTGGTAATCCCTTTCAAGCCAGTCGATGAGCCACTTGATCTGGGATCGCTCAGAAACCGAATAGCTGATGGTAAAGGCAAGGCGTTTGAGGGATCGGGAACCGCCTGGGTAAAGGCCAGTCTTGTCATCGCAACCGGCATCGTAAAAGAAGCCCCTTTTGGGAACGTAAGTAGCGTCGCACACTTCGATGAGTTTGTCCAAGAGACATTTTCCGATGCCTCGGCGTTTATGGTCCGGCTTGATAAAGATCTCTAGCTCCACTGTGTACCGTCCTGTGGTTTGAAGGCCCAGGGAATCTGTAGCCAAAGCATATCCGAGGATCCTTTCTGGGGAGTCGTGGGCGGATGGTCCGCGTCTGCGCTCTGCAGCCACAATAAATGGCAATTTTGCACGTCTGCTATCCTCGATTCGTTGGTGCACATCTTGTTCGTCAAGTGTTCCTAAGCCTGAACTCAAGTTTGACTTTTGGCTATACCAATTCAAGATCATGAGCAGTCCTGGTACGTCACCGTCTTCGACACAGCGAAGATAGACGTTTGCTCTAGGACTATTTGGATCTTTTGGAGAACAGACCTTCAGACCTTCTATGAAGGCATCTCGAGCTTGTTTCCGGCGCGTCCTCGCCTCCTCTTCTGCTGCTTTTATATGCAATGCAAGGTTATAGCAATAGCCTTCGGCAGTTTCATGATAATGGAGATGTGTCGCTTCGTTAATCATGTCCAAACGGGTTGGGGCGTCTCCCAAGTCAAGAATATACAAAGATTCGATCCCATCCATATGCGCAGTCCCATCAAAAAAGGCTTGATGGTGGATGTCAAGGTTGCAGCTATCGCCTGTCTCCATCTCTAGCCAATGACGGAACCAATCACGAAAGCCTTCATAGGTAGAGCAAGCACGAGGACGCATTTCCCACCTGTCCTCCCACTTAACCTTAGAGCAGTGCTCTGGTGTATGACCGTCGTCCTGATTGCCACTATGGCGCTCAGCATTCGATGGAGTTATCTGAAGACGTTCATGCTCCGCACTTGGATAGCGAGAAAGAAAGATCTGGCCGTCAACGATTGCCGGATACACGGACATGCTGTTATGATAAGATTCACGCTGAGCGTCAAGTCTCGCAGCGTAAAATTTCTGGACGTGAGACCTGATTTCATCGACGAAGTATCTATCGTCCAGGTCCCCTTCAAACTCGACCTCTGGGATAGACCTTGGGTTGGAAGAAGTTTCATTTGGATTGGCTGCGAGCCTACATCTTGCGATGCTCTTGTAGACATCTGATTTTGGATCGGTTCCCGGCCCGTCCCTGCATTTCGCAAGGCTCTCTGGATTTGCTGTGTCGTCTTCATGGTCTCTGTAGCGATTGAGATGGGCTTGCAAAACAATCTCTTCTTGAAGACGCTTTAACTCATCTAGAGCCTCTTGAGATGGAGCCTTGTTTGTGGTCTTTGGCACGCCGGACGGAATTTTGATCTGGCAGCCAACTTCGTCCTGGGGAGTGTTATCTTTCAACGCAGCAGGTCTGTTTGGTAACCCATTGGGATTATGCCTCGGTACTTGCTGTGTTGTTCCTGAACTAGCCCTATATCGGGGACCGCTGTTCAGACGTGCGCTTCCGCTCCGAAGCTGTCTTTGATTGCGACCTTTGAAATTGGCCCCTCGATGCATGACGACTTCGTCGGATCCATTGCTGTCAGTTTTGTTTGGACGGTCTCCTACTTGAGCTGATTGCTAGTTAGCTTACTGAAGCTCGATCCTTGGCCAAATTGAGAAGGAGCACGTGTTCCTCACCCATATTTGTATTTCCTTGGGAAGGAAGTGATATCTGAGCTGGATTAGCGTTGATAACTTGACTCAATGTTGATCTCTTCTGTGGCGTGTGAGGCAGGTGCGAGAGGTGGGTGGAAGCTGGTGCTCTGCTATGGAATTTCTTAGGTCGCCAGTCAAAGCGCGGGCGTGTTCTGTGACTGCCTGAGGCCTCCTTATCTTCCTCTCTTGCACTTTGTCTCTGGTGCAGGGCTTCAGAACCTGGAATAGAAGGTCCCTGAATTTTCAGAACTAAGCAAGCAGGGGATTTTGAGGACTCGGCGTTATTCAGCCTCTCTGAGTCATCTTGTGATGCTCCGAGGTCGTGTGTTGTAGAGTGGATAGTGCTCTGCTCGTTCGTTGGATTTGAATTCGAGAAACTATATGCCGGACGGTAATTGTCAAGCTGGGTCTTAGGAGAGTCTGTCTGTTCTGGTCTTCTCTTTCTGAAAGCACGAGCCTTTGCGAAGGTTGAGGGGAGATTGTTTATGGCTTGAAGCCCAGACTCAGGGGAGGCAGGATCTTGCTTGGAATGAGTCTTCGACTTATTAGGCCTACTCCTGCTTGGGATATCTGGCTGACCGTGATGAGCTTGTCTCTCCATGGTGGCTAGTCATCAAGGAATGGTGTGGATAACCTAGAAGAGAATGTTCCGGACCAGAAGATGCGAGTATCATGAGTCATCTTGCAGTGTGCATGGGGATGAAGATAGGTCTTAAGCGATAGTTAGGGCAAGTACAGTTTGAGGTGAATGTGAAGTGAAAGGGAAACGGATGTTTCCTGCTGAGTTACTAGTGACAGATAACTGTAGTGAAACATGGAAGCACATGTCTAGAGACACTACGACTTTATGATGTGGGCTTATGATTAATGACTTGGGTTCAAAACACTCTTTGAGATCCCTGATATATTTGCTAGTCCTAAAAGTTATCACAGTCACATGTGAGATCTATCTAAGGTAGGATATGAGAGGGAGTATAGGTCTTCTCAGCGTAGAAGAGAGCTTCGAAAAGCATCTATACACTCACACAAGCCCAAAAAATGACTGCAAGGTAAAATCGAATTAGAAGTAAGCTAGTAATGCATATTATTTACATTAAATTAATTACTATACAGAATTGTTGGTGATCGACTTGCTGGGTTAGCTCTGAATATGGCAGATCTCTATCCTTCGCCCAAATACGTAGGCGTTTTATCCAACTACAACTAAGCCAGCGCAACAAATTCGAGAGGACACATTTGGCCAAAATGCTGTCAATATTGAGAAAAGCTCGCTTAAAGGACAAAGAGATGAGGATTCTGATGCTGTGAGTCTTTCGGAGACCAAGAAATGACTGACCTGGATGCTCATAATCGATGCTAGTGGTCTTGATAATGCTGGGAAGACAACAATTGTGAAGCAGATTATGAAGGAAGATGTCACAACTGTCAGCCCTACACTGGGCTTTATCATTAAAACAATAGATTTTGAAGGGTAATTTCAACCCTGAAGATCTCAACCATATTTTTAACTGACTCCGGACACAGATATAGATTGAACATATGTGAGTGAAGCCAGCAGTTAAAACTCCCGCAAGGAACTTCGAGTGACTTTTTGCCGCCAGGGGACGTCGGGGGACAGAAAACCCTCCGGTCGTACTGGAAAAATTACTTTGAGAAGACAGACACACTTGTCTGGGTGGTAGATGCAACAGACCGTCTTCGAGTTGATGATTGCCGGGATGAACTCGCGGGCCTACTCCTTGAAGAGGTACGGTTTGCCAATTTCCCCGCTCGCCTGCAAATTTTCGTTGATGGGCACCGGTTTGGCTAACACCCTCCAGCGCCTGATGGGAGCAAGTCTTCTGATCTTCTTGAACAAGACAGATGTAGAGGGATGTATGACGGAAGATGAAGTCCGTGAAGTAAGTTGTTGTCGAGTCTTGATATATTTGTTAGGCTCTACGGACATCTGCTGAACACTCTCCAGCGGCTTCGCCTGGATTCAATAAAGACCCATAAATGGACTATATTGCCCTGCAGTGCTATAACAGGCAAGAATCTCCGTGAAGGCTTACAATGGGTGGTGCAGGATGCAAAAGACAGACTTTTCCTCTACTGACCCTGTCTCTACCCGCTTCTGCCGATTACGCTTGAGCGTCTGGAGTTTTCAACTCCAATACAGATTTACGTTGTGGATGCTTCTTGGTTTAGGTCAACACTCGAGAATTTAATGATATCACTAATGCTTAGATGAAATGAGTCTGTCGTTTTTCGATCTAGCAGACACACTCCGTGTTTTTCTATATATGTGTTTGCAACCAACCATTTAGTTGTCTCTTAAACTCTGAAGAAAGTTATGCCCTTAATCCGTTATTTTCTCCCTCTGGTCCCGTATTATTTTATCTCAACCGATTATCACTCATCCACATGGAAAAATAGGGTAGAGAAAACTTCAAATAAGTGCGATCCCCTTCTCAGGCTCTTCTCTCTCCACAATCGGGCTGCAAGTAAGGCCCTGAAGGAGGCCCGATAGCGACAAGCGGCGCCGAAATTCTCAAGGAGTATGGTTAGGGAGTCTTAGGAGGAGACAAGAACATCTCGGATGGCCGATTGTGTGGTCCAAATGTTAGCAGTCATCAAGCTGACCGTCGCACAGAGTTGTCAGTAAAGTAAAGTTAAACACTTTGTGGCTTAACAAGGGATAACGCTATTTGAGTCAACATTCCATATGATGCATATGGCATCAAACGTCGAGCAGACCGAATATGCCATTATTTCCATTTACGAGGTTTTGGCAGATCCTCACCCTTTGGCAACTCTGCTTAGCCGCACCTTACCAAACCACCAAAATATAGATTATAACTCTACAGATTTGACAGTGTCATAGCATGTCCAAAATATAATAAAATTCGCTAGTAAAACTTGATAGAAAACAACAAATTAGATATGTTAGAAATCTGGGTCATCCTTGATTTCTTCTAGGGCATTCCTTCTGGCGTTTTGCTGCGTGTGAAGGGGGTCCCTTGCAAGGCATCTTTCACTGAACACTTCTCCAAAGCTGAGTTCACGATACTTGAGTATGACGACATTCGTTCCGTTTCTAGAAGACTAGGCCACTAAGTCAACCCGAAGCCAGATACCTGATAACTACCTAGCATCTACCCTCGAAATATCTAAGACACTAAAAGCTGGTTTCGCAACTGTTACTGGATCGCGGGGCGGCAGAGAAGGTCCACCACATGGCCGCTGGTAGGTATCTACCTTGGTAAACAGTCTTCCATGTTGAGAAACATCAAAACAAGTTGCTGTGACCCATACAAACAAGACGAATAAGCCATTTTGTGTTCCTTCAGTGGCCATTTCAGTGCTACACAGGGATCAGATACCTCTTTAAAGTTCTGAATGATGACTACGGAATACTAGTCTACTATCTACAACACTGCTGCATGACTCCAATATCTTGCCAATCATCGAAAAAAAGGGAGACATGCATTGGGCGTTGGTGTGGATGGGATACTCAGCTAGACGACTAAGACGAGCGTGTCGGGCGCATTTTCAGCAAGGACGCGGTGGGGCTACAGCTACAGGCTGATGTGTGCTCACAGTCTTTGTGCGTGTGGCAGCTGAAAAATAATAATATTAATATCGATCCAAATATGACACTAGTAAAGTGACTTGCCCTTCGAGTCACCACTTTTTGCCTGGATCCACAAAGCACCAGTGAGAGCAGAAAAGAGCGTGACGTCCCACAACCAGGGTTAAAGGCGGAGGATAATCGACAGTTCCTGGGATCCTGACTAGATTAACTTGAGACGTGCCGTGGGAGACACTGGGAAGTACCTCCCTTACTCATACACTATCTACTATCTATCTACCTAGGCAGTTCGATAAACATCGACTTATCCCGTTCCCCTCCATCGTCCACTGCGATCATTACGTTTGCGCTTTTTCTTGTCAGGACCCCACACCAACCCAGTTCAGTCTACTGGGTGATCCCGGTCAATTATTCTCCTTATTATTGCTTTTTCCTGATAATTTTCTTTCTCACCTTTCCCTTTCTGTTTGGTTGTGCATTCTCATATCTAGGGTGCCATGACAATTACTTCCGATGCGGACGGTTCAAAGGATGTCAATGACTTCCTCCAGCGGATTCGGGAGCTAGGCGAGAAACGTGATAAGGAGGACGAGGAACGGACCAAGAAGTTGGAGGAGGAAATCATGCAGAGTCGCAAGGAGAGGCAGGCTCGAAGAGCTGGTATTTGGCGTCCCTAGTCTCCCAGTCATTCCAATCATCTATTGCTTTTGTCGTCTCGATCCATTGGCTGCCCGAGCCCTCGGACAATTAAATAATCAAAGGCTGATCTTGTTCATCTTCTTTGCCGACCCTGTGTAGAACGAGCGCGGTCAATTTCGCCAACAAAGGACTCCCCCATCCTGGATTCCGCTCGTTTGAGCATTTCTTCCCTCAGCCAACGTGGGATCGAGCCTCCGGAACAACTCTCGCCCACACCTCGGACACCTGAACATGCCACAGGCGCCAGATTCGACCCCTTTCGAGATGACACGTCAATTGGTACGGATGGTGATCTGGAAGGGTCAAAACTAGACGGGAGGGAGATGGAATCCTCACCAAGAGCAACTACTACCTCACCTCTTGCGCGCAGTAGAGCAGGGACCCTGTCCTGGCAGCAACGACCGTCTTCACGGGATACGAGCGGCAATAGATCGTTTTTCCCTCCCTCTCCTACGCGCTCACCGACCCGTCTCAATCGCCTGAGTGGGCTGTCTAATTTCTCGAACGATGATCACAAAAATCTTCGCAGTCCGCTGACGCTTTCGCCTTCCTCTAAGGATGTTCCCGCCGCTCAGAAAACAAGAGCGGAGGAAACTCCCGACTCAATTACTAGAGAGGTTGCCAAGGAGAAGCCGGACGCTGAAAAGACTGGTCAGGGTTCAATTAACACAAACGACGAAGGCACGGAATCGAATCCAGAATTTCCCCCTGGAGATGAGAAGCAGAACTCGCAACCGGAAGTTGGAGAAGAAAGATCGCGTTCCCCATCCAGGGCAAGCTCGACTTTCGGGGATAGTAGTTTGGGACATCGATACTCAAGTGTATCTTCTGTCTCAACGCCAACTGGAGTCGGGTCCCCTCTGCCCCTTTCAAGCGTCCAAAAACTCGAGCCAGAACAGGTCGCGACAACTCCCTCCCCGAGGCGCCTTTCTCCCGAGCGTTCACGTTCAACGTCGCCGACAAAAGGGCTTGGAGGCTTTGTGCAGAGCGCCATGATGAAGCGATCGGATAGTGTCTCGAAGCGATGGAGTGCTCAGTTACCGTCAGGGGTAAACCGAGGCTATTCATTTGCCACCAACCGCAATAGCATTGCTGGTCCAGCGTATGGCGATGTGCATACGCCTGCATCTCCGTCGAGGCTTGGCCGCGAGGACCCGTTCCTTGCGTCCAAGAGGCCAAGTTCCAGCCACAGTGAGGCAACGATTGTCCACAATGCGAAGGAGAGTGAAAGGCCAGCAACGCCGCCAATGGTGAACAAGGCAGAGGGAGACGAACCTACCGCCAGACCCACACTTCACATGAGAGCTCCCAGTGCATTAAGCGGAAATGGACACGACTCCGACTCGACTTCGTTGCCGTCTGCGAGCCCCGTTGTCTCGAGGACCATGGATCCCAGGCGCTGGAGTCCCACAAAATCGACATGGCTGGAGAGCGCTCTTAATCGACCTGACTCACCAAAGCACAAAAGGCAGCCCTCACAGCAAACCTCATGGGCGAAAGATCGACAATCAAGGGCAAGCGTCGACCTGGGCCGCGTGAATAGCTTCAAGGAAGTCACTACGGTCGGCCTCATGCGTTCAGCTGCACCTGGTAGTCACTATAAGTCTCCGAGTGTTTCTGGGATCCCGGATCTACCAAGTAATCTTGATATCAACAAACCTAAGGAATCCAAAGACCAGCCGTTGTCCAACCCTGAAGATAGCGAGACCAAGCCTACAGAGACACCCAAGGTTGAAACTGCACCCGACCTTGAAACTACACCCAAGGGTGAGGATCCTCACGAATCCGTGGATACTAAGCCCGAAGCTTCTCCTACAGAGCAAGAGGGTGGACCGGAAGGCAAGACCGAGGATGCTCCAACACGCAAACGTGCACCTTCCCTCCTAGTACCCGTTAACAAAACTGACATCTGTCCACCTCTCTCATCTCCTCGAGACCCTTTATTGAACAGACCAAAGCCACTATCTCCTGTGATAGATTTCCGGGCCAATTTGCGAAAGCGAGAAATTATCAAAGATGAAGCACCGAAACAGGAACCGGAGTTCAAGAACGTGTTTGGCAAATTAAAGAAAGCCGAGTCTTCGACTTACGTTGCCCCCGATGAGCTCAGAAATAATATTTTGAAGGGCAAAGCAGCGCTGAATGCGACAGGCGGCCCGAAGAAGACTCCAAAGGTTGATGATCTGAAGGAAAGTATCTTGAAGCAGAAAGAGGCAATCAAAGCGAGCGGAGGCTCACTGAGGCGTAACACGGCCGGAGAACTCGATGCTCCTGCGAAAATGATTCCAGAAGCAATTGCCAAACGAAATAACATATCTAAATCTAGCAACAGCAGTAGGAGCACTCATTCGGTTGGTGACTTGACTTCGCCGTCATCTGAGGACTACCCAACACCGAACGGTCTCACGAATGACCAGCAATCTCCTTCTTCCGCGCCTAACGACGAGCAGGCGCAGGAGGCCCAGAGCTCACAGACTGCAGCAGAGGTTTCAGAGCCAAATGGACCGAAAGACCAGGTTGAAGATTTGGCATCTACTGAGGCTGGAAATGTGGAGACCAAGGGCGACGATTCTGAGAATCAGTTGATCACACACACAGCGGTCGCCGCAGAGAACACTGAGATAAGGAACAAGCAGATTGAAGAGGCCATCAAACCGGTGCGTGCTCTGCCGTCGGGGATTGTTGCGGAGGCTGCAGAAACGCCTGCTGCTACTGAAGGTCTTGCTACTAAAGGTAAACTCGCAGGCCGAATAAACCCTGCCTTGGCAGGTCTTTTGTCTCGCGGCCCTCCTATTATCGGCGGGAACTCAAACAAGCACTTGTCGACAGACTCAATGCGAGAAGGTAGCTCCGAATTTCCTGGCAGTCAGGCTTCTGCACCTCTTACCCATATGACGAAGAACCGTGCGAGGGGGCCAAAAAGGCGCCTACCCAAGCTTGCAGCCACGGAATCGACGACGCCGCTGGTCAACGATACTACAACCGTTCCAGAGAACGATATCTCTTTATCTGATATTAATGGGACGGAATTGCCACCATCATCCAGCCAAGATATTGCGAAGACTTCTGTTGGCTGGCCGCTTCCTGACGCTGATACAACCAGCCCCATGGTCTCTGAGCCGACCCTGCCTCCACTGACGTATTCAGCCTCCGAAAATCCAGTGGAATTCAAGCGAACCATACCGCATCTGATAGAGCGTAGACACGAGCAAAAGCTCGCACACAGGGACTCGAAGTCTTCGATGGATATGAACCCTTCGCCTCCACCCAAGGAAGATTTGGAGGGCATTGAAAATCTCGGAGACTCTCCCTCGAGAAGACCGACTCTACCACCAAAGCCAAGTATGCCGCCCTCGTCACTCGCCTCAGTGCAAATACGGAGCTCTCCACGTCAGTATTCGTCTCCGTCTTCTTCTCCTCTCAGAACAAGCTTTAGGGAGAACCGACTGCAGTCTCCTCGAGCAACTCCGCAGAAGTCCCCGAAGAACTTTTCATCTGGTGGTTCGATAGAAAACTCTCGAGATAAAGCATTACCTTCTCCTCCTGTTCCTTCTAAATGGAGCAAAATCTCTGCCGATCAACAGTCCTTATCGACGAGATCATCAGTGTCTTTGGTACCCCAGGCCGAGGAATCCTTTGAAGTCATTTCGGGCTTTTTCAAGACTTTGCCAAACTCAAACGACCGCGTGAACATTGACACGCAATTGATGCTTACTAGCAAGACCGACGATCTCCGAATTAGGACTCTGAAGAGGCAACTTTGGGAGATTACTGGTGACGGGAAGAGGCAGGACCTTCCTGTTAACCAGGAATACATTCTTTACGAAGGAAGTATGTACCTGTGCGTACACGTTTTTGATTCGGAAGGAGTTGCACGCTGTGAGACCCATCTTTGGTGCGGTGACGATGTGAGTGATGCGGCCATGGACGATGCGCAGCCATTCTCCCGCAGAGTCGCCAGGGAAAACGGCTGCAAGTTAGAGGTTATCAAGCAAGGCAAAGAGACTTCCAGATTCATACAAGCCCTTGGTGGGATCCTCATCACACGCCGTGGGGCTAACTCTCGCTCCAGCTCTTCTGCCATCTTTATGCTCTGCGGACGAAAACATCTTGGTCAAATGGTATTTGACGAGGTCAACTTCTCCAGAAGCAATCTTTGCTCAGGCTTCTCTTATGTAATTTCTGCAATGTTTGGCAAATTATACCTGTGGAAGGGCAAAGGAAGTACTGCCGAGGAAATTGGCGCCGCCCGCCTCATTGGCATGGATCTCGGCCTGACGGGCGAATTCGAAGAGGTGGCCGAAGGGGAGGAGCCCGAAAGCTTTTTCGAGGTCTTCTCGCACCACAGAGACACCGAAGAGTCCATGCGCTCAGACTACTGGCGGCTGAAACCGAACCATGACCATTTTCGCCTGAGATTGTTCCGGGTAGACCACGAGCTTGGTCAACGAACAGGCGGTTTTTGGCTTCGACGAGTGTCGGGGTCAGCTTCCCCTGTGATTCGACCAAATGACACCGTTCAGGAAATTGTGCCATTCTGCCAGAAAGACATCACGGCCAAAGGAATCTACATTTTGGACACCTTCTTCGAGATTTATGTGTAAGTGAATGCGATGGGCCTCCAATGAACACTCGCTGATTTGTGCGTAGTATTGTTGGTGAACAAGCATCTCAACGACCTGCCGAATTCGCATCAGCAGTAGTATTTGCGCACGAGTATGGCATTCTGGCTGCTTCCCTTCAAGATCGACCATTCATTCCCAACAGTCTTGTCTCCATCGGAGGTATTCCCGAGTCGGCTCGTAGCGCATTTCGCAAATGGGACAAGCCATCCGGACAAATGCGTCCGCGAGTGTTTCCTCTAAACGCGGCAATTGAGTCTATTCGCTCCTGAAGTCAATATTTGGGTGATGTTGATGATTTTTATTTTATTTTTTATTTTGGCTTTTCTGGTTCATAATTGGTTCAATTTATGGTGGGATTGTGCATATACTGGTCCGAAGGAGCTTGGCAGAAAGGAAAGGAGTGATCCATGTTGATATTTGACTGTATTTCTCAGTGGACATAGAGAGGTATCCTTCATACACTGTACAATATTTCAGGCGGCTATGCTGGGATTCATACATGGCCGGGGAGGGTTCTCAGTGTAGTCCTTACCAATCTACACGATATAGTTCAAAATTTCAGGGCTGTCAAATGCAAGATATATCTTGACAACTTAAACAACAAAGATTCTTCGTCATCGATCGATGAAACCACCAACCGCAAGTGGCCCCACTGACACTACCCGCGTTTTATTCTCACTTTTTTTTCCCTTCCCGAATCGCCATCCGAACCAGATATTCCATAATCGCCCCATGTGAATGGCCAAGACCATCTTACCAGACATTATTCCGATTCCTTTTCTCTTCTCCGGTATTCATCTCAATCATGTCGTGATGCTCTGAACCAAATGCCCTTTCCTGAGATGGAGTTCTAGTAAGTCTATTCTAATCAAAGGATGATTGGCAAGATATTGGTGTCAGATTTATCTTCTTCCACGATGGACCTCGACCGCGAACTCTCCACGCTGGACCCCGCGGTTGGTTTCCGCGCTTCCGCCGACCATCTGCATCACACTTGGGCTAAGACGTTCTACTCGCGCCCTGAATTGTATATCCGGCCGCAATCAATCGCTGAAATCCAGAAGCTGGTGACGCTGGCTCGTCGATGCCGTCGTCGCCTGGTCACAGTCGGCAGCGGTCATTCGCCGTCCGACTTGACCTGCACTTCTTCGTGGTTGGTCAATCTCGACGATTTCAATCGCGTTCTACACATTGACCGCGAGACACATGTTGTAACGGTCGAGGCTGGGATACGGTTGAGGGATCTCGGTCGGCGATTGGAGGAACATGGTTTGACGTTGTCGAATCTAGGCAGCATTGACAGCCAGTCTATTGCCGGTGTCATTGCGACGGGGACCCATGGAAGCTCCCTGCGGCATGGTCTGATCTCAGAATGTATCATTTCGCTGACTCTGATGTTGGCGAACGGGCAGCTGGTGCGCTGTAGTGCAACCAGCAACCCGGATCTTTTCCGCGCGGCCTTGATCTCTCTCGGCGCATTGGGTATCATTGTCGAGGTCACTTTGCAGGCTGAACCGACGTTCAAGGTTGCTTGGAGACAGACGCGACGACCGCTGTCCAGCGTTCTGGCCGAGTGGTCCTCCGGTCTATGGACTACACATGAGTTTGTGCGTGTCTGGTGGATGCCGTATGAGAAGAGTGCGATTGTCTGGCATGCGGACAAGACCGATCTGCCACTGCGGAAACCTCCCAAGACTTTCTATGGGGAGTGGATCGGTTATCATATCTACCATAACCTGTTAGCACTCTCCAACTATTTCCCCCGTATCCTTCCCTGGGTAGAATGGTTTGTCTTTGGCTTGCAGTATGGGTTCAAGGCGGAGAAGACGGTGACGGAAGCCGTAGAGCCTGCCCGTGAGGGGCTTTTGATGAACTGTTTGTACTCACAATTTGTCAATGAATGGGCACTTCCTCTTGCGAAGGGCCCGGAAGCGATCACGCGCCTGTCAGCCTGGCTTCATGGCGATATGGAGACCGCTCGTATCCCATTCTCGGTTGATGGGCTGTGGGTGCACTGCCCCGTTGAAGTCAGAGTCGCAGATTCCACCTATCTGGGAAAACCTCGCCCTTTCCTCGACCCCACGTACCGCGATGGGCCTACTTTGTATCTCAATGCGACTCTCTATCGTCCATACCTTCGGGATCCCCCATGTAAGGATCGCTACTACGAAGCGTTCGAGTGGCTCATGCGGGAGTTGGGCGCGAAGCCACACTGGGCCAAGAACTTCAAAACAGGACGCAAGGAGCTGCATGAGCTCTACGGCAAGGACATGGATGAGTGGCTGAGAGTGCGGAAGGAAGTAGATCCTGACGGCATGTTCCTCGGAGAATGGCATCATCGCCACCTACCCTTGTCTGGCGACGAGAAAGAGACAGAGTCTGCCGGCCCAACCGTTCTCCCGCTCTCGGAGCGCGAACAGCTCCGTCGCCGGGTAGATATTCGTGGAGCTGGTGATGGTCTCGAATGGATTGGAGATAAGCGGTGGCAGGCGGCTTCAGGGCGTCCAGCTGCTACCCTGTCGAATCTCGAAGAGAAGAATCTGGACGATGTATCAGTTTCGAGTCCTCCTATGACAGCCACCAGCGAGGAAAGTTTTGACTTGCTCGCTGCTGGTGAGGCAAGTGTTGTGCTTCCAGGTGACCACTCGTAAAACGAGGATGCCTAACAGATGACCTAAAGTAGCAAACAAAGTACCCTTTTTGAGGCCTCTGAATGGCTGGCGCGGATCGCTTTCGCCCGAGTCATTTCTTCCTGGATTGTTGATATTGTCTCCGGGAATAATGTAGTCTATAGTATCTCCTTTTAAGCTTGTCGATGAACGGTTCAGCGTTGGTATTCTTTGTTTCACCTCTTCCTTCTGGTTTGCGTCGGTGTTTGCTGCACAGAAGCACTACCTCGCCGTCGGGCACGTTACAAAGGCAAGATGCCATACGCGAGCTTTCTCCGACAATCGCTCATCTTAGTCATTGGATATTGATCCGGTCATGCTGTCGAGAGTATTGGAGCCCTGTCCGTAGTGTCTTGCTTGTGCTACTTGAGTCAACCTTGATGTGATATTTTGACAGGTAGCATTCCGGCTGTGCTGTCTTCGAGAGGAGAAGAAACAATATACATTTTTATGTCATTCCATGCATGCAGTACCAGGATGACTCGATACAAAATGCAGGTTGGCATGAACAGAGGGCCTTGACAGACGATCAGAGAAACTGCTGTGAGAATCATGGGACTCGTCCATGTAACCAACTCAGGTCCTCACCTGATGTGGATGAATCTATCATTCATTGATTGCCCTGGTGTTTGATTGATACTTTGAAGGATCAGACTGGAGATAGTTGCTGTTGCTTTGCTGTTGACGATGCGGGACCCGCCATGTTCGGCCATCAGCACTCTTTGGACTTGGCTTCATCTCTCCCTACTTTCCTCCCATTCTTTCCCATTCTCATTCTCAACCCTCACCTCGTTCTGTCTAATCCTCATCCTCATACCTAACTCGGCATCAAGTCCTGTCAATAGGTCCGTCTAAACGCATAATAAACTTCAACCCCAAGGCAGAGGTATATCCTACAGGGACCAACCGATGTAGCACGGCCCCGCCCTGATCGCGGTTTCTCGAGTTGACAGCACCGCCACATCTCCTAGAAAGTATCCCCCGGTGATGGTTGGATCTTTGCGATACTCAAGTGTCATCTGCAGCCATACGAGTACTCCAGTCGCGATTATTCATCTACTTAAACCGAATAGCTAAATGAGGGGTATTCATCGGCAACCTTCGCTCTTTGACCTCGTTCTTGGAGCTATGAGTGTCCAAGCTGCAGGAAGGTGGAACTACTGCAAGCATACAACTGCATGTCTTCTCCCCGTGCGTCTCAATGTGGGAAAGTCTTCTTCCATCAGGCTCGATTGTCTAAGGTAAGACCATGGCATACTTTGTCCAAAGACGATGCCGTTGCTTGTAGTGAAGGGAAAATTGAGTTGGGCAATTTCGTACACTACGTATGGAGTACACCTACTGTACCTGCCCTGACCTTAATCGTTCATCTTAAGAGAGGGTAAGAGCTGGGTGAGATCAGTGTCCTGAAAACTATCTCAGAGTCCTACTCCTTCAGCCGATTTCTCTCTCTGCCTGTTTTCTGAATGGTCGTCGTTGGTTTTGCTTTCATCAACCTGCTCGGGGAAGTTGCTGATCAGCAAGATCATCTGGGCATCGAGCAAGGTGTGCTTATGCTACCTTGTCAATTTCGCTATCACAAAAGGCATTTGATAGCATCTCAGACGTGTCAGACGCTGCTATGCACGGTACTTTTATAACAAGCCCATGCATTACAGAGTGATATGCGGTCTTTGCATGCCGCCCCGCCCCTCTGCACATTTCAGTCGAATCAGAGCTTGATCGGCTGAGGCTGCTCATGCATATCAATTGTGTCATCACTAGGACAATCCCTGGTTCTGCTTCATTTTATATTTTGCTTTTCATCAGGTATCGTTTCTACCAGTCATTACAGACCGTTTGACTAGATACTGCCCGTCATGTGATGTGCTCGTTGGCATTCGTCCTCCTGGGACATTTACTCATCACACAACAGCGAGAACTGCCATTGCCTGGTCCTGGTTACTGTCCATGCACTTAATTTGCGAAACCCAATACTGTCTGTCCTAGCTGACATCGTTGGGGCGATGGATATCCCACTTACAAATGTCTCGCTAATGCAATCGATGCCACAGTTCACAGACTGTCCAAGGATGTGAACTATCCACTCAAGTTGATGCAGGTTTTTGACCTCCACTAGAGGCAGAGCCATGCACGAAGATTGAATAATGTTGAATTGGATATTATACCTCCTTAGAATGACACTGAGCTCAGACGGAGGCACGCGCCCATTGACTGCATACATAGCGATGGCCAGGGTGTGACGATGGTGATTGGGAACTGCGCTGGCCAGCCATTCACCAATGACAGTGGACAAAATCACCGATAGGCGTCTATCATGCCTCACCGTCTCGAATCAACCTTTGGCCCTGCGGCACGAGCTCTCTGGTGTGACTGACTCATTTTTTAGGGCCATATTACCCCAAGGTATGTGTCACCGCTGGGAAAGCTGAAGGGAAGCAGATGAGGATTGTGCACTTGCGCAACAGGGCATATTTTACCTGTCGCTGACATTTCGCCGCAAAATGGTCAGAAAGTGATCCTGACCCTGGTCTTCTGCGCTTCGCTGCCCAAATGACAAGGGTTTTATCCGGCCAGTACCGACTCACAATGCTATGTTTACTGCCCCTTTTGCTATGACGGCTCGGACCGTCTTTGGCTCGTTATGACGAGAGAATTTTACCAGGATACCAGACTGGCAGCGAATTCAACGAACACAAGGCTAGGCGGCCAGTTGCCGCGAGGGCCCCTGGTGTATGTATCTGACACAGCCACAGCGCTGTTAGGGTCCTCGAGCGACCTGTGCCGGTCAACATCATGATTGATCGTTTTCCACGTCATCAGCAAAATCTATGCGGTGTACATTAGGGTGGGGGACTCGTATGCGGGGCTACTGCCATTCGTATGTTCCTTCTGCCGGACATTGTCTCGATATGTATAATGACCGCAGGCGCTCTCAGCCTCCCTTGCTCTCCTCTGGTCTCGCCGTTTCTCGCGCTCATATGCCCCACCTTCCTCTTTCACCGTCTCTAATACTGTTTTAGCGATTACTCAGGGGTAGCAATTGAGCTCACTGTCTTGTCAAAGCGACACGCGATTCTCTGTTTGGTTCAAACCGCACGATAGTTCTCACAGCAGTTGCAATCAGCCAAATGTCACGGCAACCGAAGCTCTGTCCAAAGTCGCACATACCGGGCTATCCCAATGCGTTCTGTGATCTCGCAGCGTTGGCGTCATTATCGCAGCCGGAACCTAGGTCTGGACCAGGCGAAGAAAAGTCGGAACAGCGACTCTTTCGAGTCAAGCGAAAGCATGTCTTGAAAGCTTGCGATCGTTGCAGGGTCAAGAAAACCAAGGTTGGTGCCTGAGAAGACACTGGAGACGATGCTTCCCCAGAACATAGGACACTCAGTCATGCTCATCTGCAATAGTGTGACGGAAAGCAGCCATGCAACCGTTGCTCAGCGCATAACCACCCCTGCCTCTTCCGAGAGAGGAAAGCCACACAGACGAAAGTCTACTCCCGAGGGTGAGACCATTTCAACTGCTCCCTCACGCGTTTCTCTCATGCTTATTGCTTTGCCTTCTCTCGGTGTTGGTGAATCTGTAAGGAAATTGAATCTGACAAGCTTTATCTGCCTGCAACAGATTCGTTGAAATGCTGGAATCGCATCACTCACTAGTCGTCAAGGCTTTGCAGAAACTTTACAAACTCTCCTTGAACAAAGAGGGATTCCCCGGAGAGCCGCTTCCCGAGGCTTCCGATGGATACCCCCTGACGCACGCTATCTTGGACCGTTTGGGACTGATCAAGCAAGCTGAGGAGAACCCTGAAGACAGCAACGAAGACTCGGAAGATCTGCAGTATTTGCGCCTGTTGTCCACTTCTGCTGAATGCAGCGCAACGACAGACCCCTCTCCAGAACCAGCTACTCCCCCCGAGCCGTCGTCCAGCAACTGCAGTCCCGTTGACCTCTCCCCTGTGACTGAGTGGAAGTGGAACTTCCCATCAGTTCAAACTGTTCGTTCAGAGCAGTATCATAACTATTCGAACCCAGATTTTGCTGGGCTGGGGCTGTCTCGGACCAACAACCTCGCTGGTGATGCTGCATGTCTGGGCACAGCAACAACTGTGCTCAGCCCTAACCATCCGTACCTTTATTATCTAGTTACTTGTAACGCGGATGCCAAGGAGTCGCTTGGCTCTTGCGTGACTGCCGGACCTGGTTTTCAACAACCTGCGTCCGCTACCGAGATGCCTGTTAATATGCTTGGGGGCTTCAATGTCCACCTGCAAGAGCAACAGCCTCTTCATCCGCCTCTTGTCCCAGGCTGGCCCTACCCACGCGATTAGCACGTCTGTTTGGGGTCATTGGAAGCCAAGAATTCCTCCTCCCCTTCCGATCCTCTTCTGTCTGATCTATACGGCTGTGTTCTCCACCTTCCCTAGATGACCTTGAGGTCCATAGCCTACCTTCCTCTCATTCTCTTCTTCATTTCATGCCCCATCTCTCGGTGCTCATCCTTTGCATGGCCTATGCCGTCGTTGTCGCTTAGCTTTTAAGGCCCTGAGATACCATCATCAGATATCCAAATGCAGTTCATTTTTTGTTTAAGTGAGCAGGGAATATTCCGGGCTGACGATCTGCCTGTTGAGTATCATATCACCGCTTCTGCTCTGAGATATGTCTCTATAGAAGGACACATCCTTACACTGGTCATCTCATCCTGGGGCGGGTGCTACTTCCTGCGGGGTGAAGCCGTCCGATCTATCAGCCCGAGAACTCCTCAAAAAGATGCCAGGCTGTATAGTTGGCCAAAAACGTTCGACCATCAACATCAGAGGGGTGTTCAAATTGATGCCTTGAGAACTAACAATATGAGAAAGTTTGATTCAACTCCCAGACTAAATGCAAATCTAACATGTACAATACAGGAATAACTCCAGGAGCAGATAACCCATGGACGAGCATATTGCGGGGATAGATATTTTAAAAAGAAAA